TTTTTTTTTGACAGAATCTCTCACTCTGTCACCTGTGATGGAGTGCAATGGCACAATCTTGGCTCACTGCAACCTCGGGCTCCTGGGTTCAAGCGATTCTCCTGCCTTAGCCTCCCGAATAGCTGGGATTACAGACTTGTGGCACCATACCTGGCTAATTTTTATGTTTTTAGTAGAGATGGGGTTTCACCATGTTGGCCAGGCTGGTCTGAAACCCCTGACCTCAGGCAGTCCACCCACCTTGGCCTCCCAAAGTGTTGGGATTATAGGCGTGAGCCACTGACTAATTTTTCATTTTATTTTATTTTATTTTTTGACATGGAGTTGCACTCTGTTGCCTAGGCTGGAGTGCAATGGCATGGTCTCGGCTCACTGCAACTTCTGCCTCCTGGGTTCAAGTGATTCTTCTGCCTCGGCCTCCTGAATAGCTGGGATTATAGGCACCTACCACTACACCCAGCTAATTTTTTGTATTTTTAGTAGAGACGGGGTTTCACCATGTTGGCCAGCCTGGTCTTGAACACTTGACCTCGTGATCTGCCCACGTCAGCCTCCCAGAGTGCTGGGATTACAGACACAAGCCACTGCACCTAGCCTAAGCTGTTGTTTAGTAAATATTCACTGAGTGTCCTATTCTGTGCCAGGTCTATGCTGGGTACTGGGGACATGCAGGGAGATCAGATCAGGTCTTTCTGTGGAGGAGTGCGGTCTGATGGGGATACAGATACATTGCAGTTTACGTATGAGCAGTGCCACATTAGCAGGATGTCTGAGGAGAGACTCTGGGTAAGAAGTTAAAATACTTGGTCAGGCATGGTGGCTCACACCTGTAATCCCAACACTTTGGGAGGCCGAGGCAGGTGGATCATCTGAGGTCAGGAGTTCTAGACCAGCCTGGCCAACATGGTGAAACCCTGTCTCTACTAAAAGTACAAAAATGAGCTGGGCATGGTGGCGGGCACCTGTAATCCCAGCTACTTGGCTGAGGCAGGAGAATCGCTTGAAAGGTTGCAGTGAGCTGAGATCACACCATTGCACTCCAGCCTCAGCGGTAAGAGTGAAATTCTGTTTCAAAAAAAATAAAAGCCTGGGCGCGGTGGCTCAAGCCTGTAATCCCAGCACTTTCGGAGGCCGAGGCGGGCAGATCACGAGGTCAAGAGATTGAGACCACCCTGGCCAACATGGTAAAACCCCGTCTCTACTGAAAATACAAAAATTAGCCAGGCCTGGTGGTGTGCGCCTGTAGTCCCAGCTACTTGGGAGGCTGAGGCAGGAGAATCACTAGAACCCAGGAGGTGGAAGTTGCGGTGAGCCAAGATCGCACCACTACACTCCAGCCTGGGTGACAGAGGCAGACTTCATCTCAAAAAAAAAGTTAAAATACTTGAGCCAAAGTGTAGCAGTGCAGAAGAGAACAGTGGTGGATTGGGTCACTGAAGCAAGAGAAACAGTCAGATGTGATGATAGCATTCTTCAGAATGTCCTCCCTGCAACTACAATGGATGGTGTAGCCCAGGCTCTGCCTGTTTCCAGGAAAGCAGCTGGCCCTACTCAAGACCAATTCGGCCGTCCGGACCTGCGGTTTTGACTTTGGGGGCAACATCATCATGTTCTCCACGGACAAGCAGATGGGCTACCAGTGCTTTGTGAGCTTCTTTGACCTTCGGGATCCGAGCCAGATTGGTGAGGGTTGGGACTAGGGCTGGGGTTGAGGTGAACGGTGCAGCTCTAGAGCCCAAGGCCTAACAGCTACTGCCCCACACAGACAACAATGAGCCCTACATGAAGATCCCTTGCAATGACTCTAAAATCACCAGTGCCGTTTGGGGACCCCTGGGAGAGTGCATCATCGCTGGCCATGAGAGTGGAGAGCTGAACCAGTATAGTGCCAAGGTAAGGGGCTATAGGGGGCCTGCACCTATCATAATGGTTCTTTTTTTTTTTTTTTTTTTTTTTTAATATTAAGATGGGGTTTCACCATGATGGCCAGGCTAGTCTTGAACTCCTGACCTCAGGTGATCCACCCACCTCGGCCTCCCAAAGTGCTAGGATTATAGGCATGAGCCACGTGCCAGGCCCCAGAATGATTCTTTTTTTTTTTTTTTTTTTTTGAGACGGAGTTTCGCTCTTGTTACCCAGGCTGGAGTGCAATGGCGCGATCTCGGCTCACCCCAACCTCCGCCTCCTGGGTTCAGGCAATTCTCCTGCCTCAGCCTCCTGAGTAGCTGGGATTACAGGCACGCACCACCATGCCCAGCTAATTTTTTGTATTTTTAGTAGAGACGGGGTTTCACCATGTTGGCCAGGATGGTCTCGATCTCTTGACCTCGTGATCCACCCGCCTCGGCCTCCCAAAGTGCTGGGATTACAGGCTTGAGCCACCGCGCCCGGCTAGAATGATTCTTTATAAGAGGCAGGATAGCACAGTAGTTGAGAGCAAGGGTAGGGCTGGGTGCTATGGCTCACACCTGTAATTTCAGTGCCTTTGGGGTCCAAGGCAGGAGGGTCTCTTGAGTGCAGGAGTTGGGGCTGCAGTGAGCTATGATCGCACCACTGCACTCCAGCCTGGGTGTCAGTGAGACCCTGTCTCTAAAAAGAAAAAGCTTAATAAAAAAATTTTTAAAAGAGCAAGGGTGAGATTCAAAAATAGATTTCACCACTTTCTAGCTGTGTGGTCTTGGGCAAGTTACATAACTTCTCTGACCCTGCTTATCTGTAAAATGGTTCAAGGATCAAATGATACCACGTTTGAAAAACTTGTCACAAAGTACTCAGGACATGATAATAAGGATCACAGGCCAGCAGGCCAGAGGTGGTGACTTGCACCTGTAATCCTAACACTTTGGGAGGCCGAGGCAGGAGGATCGCTTGAGCCCAGGAGATTGAGATCAGCCTGGGCAACATAGGAAGACCCTGTTTCTACAAAAATAAATTAAAAATTAGCTGGGCCTGGTGGAGCACACCTCTGGTCCCAGGTACTCAGGATGTTGAGGCTGAAAGATTGCTGAGTCTGGGAGATTGAGGCTGCAGTGAGCCATGATTGTGCTACTGTACTTCAGCCTGGGTGATAGAGTAAGACTCTGTCTCAAGAAAATAAATAAGGGGCCAGGCACAGTGGCTCATGCCTGTAATCGCATCACTTTGGGAGGCTGAAGCAGGCAGATCACGAGGTCAGGAGTTCAAGATCAGCCTGGCCAACATGGTGAAACCCCATCTCTACTAAAAATACAAAAAAATAGCTAGGCATGGTGGCAGGTGCCTGTAATCCCGGTTACTTGGGAGGCTGAGACAGGAGAATTCATTGAACCTGCGAGGTGGAGGGTGCAGTGAGCCAAGACTGCATTACTGCACTCCAGCCTGGGCAACTGAGCAAGACTCCATCTCAAAAATAAATAAATTATATTAAATTAAATGAGGATCACAATGAGCATTCTCCTGCCACCACTGAGTATAATGCCCTGTGCTGGGCTCCTAGAACAAAGAAGTAAATCAGACACAGTCCCTGCCCCAGGGGAAGACAGACTTGCAAACAGCTAGCACGTGAGTCAGATTGTGATTTGTGCCACTATTGAAGTCTCAACCAAGTGTTGAAGGTGCATTGTCACAGGGAGGTGGCATGTACATTAAACCCTGGAGAATAAATGGAGCTTCAAGCAGGAAGGAAAGGACATCCCACAGGCAAAGGGAAGAGCAAAAGCAAAGGCACAGAGTTAAGGAAGTATGGAGTCTTCAGGAACCCTTGGGATGTGGTCTTGGGGATGAAGGACAGGGAATAGATTTTACATATCCTTAAGTGTGAGGAGGTAAAGAGTTTTGATTTTCCTTCAGGCAGTAGGGAATCTTTAGAGGGTTACTGAAGGTCAGATTTCCTTGCAACAGCTTTTGCAGTTACAGTTTGGAGAATGGACCTGAACTAGCCAATAGGCATAGGAGGTACAGTACTGGACAGTCACTGGATATTTAGGGATGACTGATTAGATAGATGGGTGAGGAAAACATAAAGTCCATGCTGTCTCAGCTGTCTAATTTGGGTGATTAGGTTTCTGGGGAACTGAGATTATTAGGGATTGGGACCAGTCAGTCTCTTCTTCCCCAGTCTGGAGAGGTATTGGTGAATGTTAAGGAGCACTCGCGGCAGATCAACGACATCCAGTTATCCAGGGACATGACCATGTTTGTGACCGCATCCAAGGACAACACAGCCAAGGTGAGCCTGGGCAGGGGTCCGGCAGGGCTGCTCTCTCCGTCCTGCTGCACACCTCACCCGGCCTGACTTCCCTCAGGAAGGCTCTTAACAGACCCCCCTGCCTTCTCTCTCCAGCTTTTTGACTCCACAACTCTTGAACATCAGAAGACTTTCCGGACAGAACGTCCTGTCAACTCAGCTGCCCTCTCTCCCAACTATGACCATGTAAGAGAACCCCACCCAGCCTTCCTGCTAAAGCCTCAGAAAGCTTCCCAGATCTAGCTGTTTGTCTAGAAGTTAGGCTACAAGCATTTTGGGGGAAGTGCTGTCAGGCAGAAAGGAGTGACAAAGCTGGAAGGATGGAGTGGCCCCAGGGAAGCGGCAGGCGGTGGTGGAGGTGTCTGCTCATCCCCTACCTTTGGTATCCTCCCATTGAGCTGTGTGAGATGTTAAAAATTTATATGGCAGGAGAAAAACAGAAAATGGACTTGGTGCCCATTGGGCCCATCTAGAGTTTCTTCTTCCCTTCAGGTGGTCCTGGGCGGTGGTCAGGAAGCCATGGATGTAACCACAACCTCCACCAGGATTGGCAAGTTTGAGGCCAGGTAAAGAGGAAGAGAGCTCTTCCAAATTGAAATCTCATGAAGTGTACCTTTTTTTTTTTTTTTTTTTTTTTTTTTGAGACAGTGTCACACTCTGTCACCCAGGCTGGAGTACAGTGGTATGATCTCTACTCACTGCAACCTCCGCCTCCTGGGCTCAAGTGATTCTCCTGCCTCAGCCTCCTGACTAGCTGGGATTACATTCGCCCACCACCACGCCCGGCTAATTTTTGTATTTTTAGTAGAGATAGGGTTTTGCCACATAGACCAGGCTGGTCTTGAACTCCTGACCTCAAGTAATCCGCCTACCTTGGCCTCCCAAAGTGCTGGAATTACAGGTGTGAGCCACTGTCCCTGGCCTTCACTGTATTTCTCTATGCCCAAATTTCCTCTACTATATAATGGAACAATGATAATATATTTACCATAAAATTATTCAGATTAGATTGTTCAGTTCATATTTATTAAGCTGTTTAAGCACTGCCCAGCACATAGTAGGCACTCTATAAGTATTAGCTGTATATTCAGGCAGACATTTGGGTCCAGTCTTCCCTTTATGATGCAAAAGTTAAAAAAGAAACAGGGTCTCTGGCCAGGCGCAGTGGCTCACGCCTATAATCCGAGCATTTTGGGAGGCCTAGGCAAATGGATCACCTGAGGTCAGGAGTTTGAGACCAGCCTGGGCAACATAGTGAAACCCCATCTCTACTAAAAATACAAAAAAATTAGCCAGACATGGTGTCCCATGCCTGTAATCTGAGCTACTTGGGAGGTTGAGGCTGGAGAATCAAACCAAAAAAGGATAGGATCTCACTATGTTGCCTAGGCTGGCCTGGAACTCCTGGGCTCAAACGATCCTCTGGCCTTAGCCTCCCAAAGAGCTGGAATTACAGGTGTGAACCACAGAACCCAGCTCCCAACTTCATCTTATTTTTGTTCACATTCACTTCTCATTATCTCAATTTTTTGCTTTATTATTATTATTTTTTGAGACAGGGTCTCACTCTGTTGCCCAGGCTGGAGTGCAATGGCACCATCTCTGCTCACTGCAACCTCCTGGGCTCAAGCAATAGCGATCCTCCAACCTCAGCCTCTGAGTAGCTGGGATTCCAGGTACATGCCACTGTGCCTGGCTGCTTTTTGTATTTTTTGTAGAGATGTTGATAGGCCAGTCTCAAACTCCTGGCCTCAAGTGATCTGCCTGCCTGGGCCTCCCAAAGTGCTTGGATTACAGGCGTGAGCTGCCACACCTCCACTTCTGCTTTATTTTTTGTGATATAATTTGCATTTGAGGCCAGGCGTGGCGGCTCATGCCTGTAATCCCAGCACTTTGGGATGCTAAGGAAGGCAGATTGCTTGAGGCCAGAAGTTCGAGACCAGCCTGGCCAACATGGTGAAACCATCTCTACTAAAAATACAAAAATAAGCTGAGTGTGTTGGCACATGGCTGTAATCCCAGCTACTCAAGAGACTGAAGCAGGAGAATCGCTTGAACCCGGGAGGTGGAGGCCGCAGTGAGCCGAGACTGTGCCACTGTATTCCAGCTACTCCAGCCTAGGTGACAGAGTGAGACTCCATCTCAAAATGAATAAATAAGTAATAATAATTTACATTTGGGGAGCGCTACCTCCAAAGTGCTTTAGAAGGAGATGGAAAGTGAATTAATTGTGTCCCCTTTCCTCCAGGTTCTTCCATTTGGCCTTTGAAGAAGAGTTTGGAAGAGTCAAGGGTCACTTTGGACCTATCAACAGTGTTGCCTTCCATCCTGATGGCAAGAGGTAGGGCCCCAGTGAAACAGCTGAGCTAAGCCTGGGTTGGGGTCTCTGCCTCCTCATGCCCTGCCGTGCAGGCCTGCCTCTCCCAGAGCAGTCACCTGACTGGTCCCTGGCTATCTTTTTCCAGCTACAGCAGCGGTGGCGAAGATGGTTATGTCCGTATCCACTACTTCGACCCACAATATTTCGAATTTGAGTTTGAGGCTTAAGAAGCTGGATCTCGGCCGGGCGCGGTGGCTCACGCCTGTAATCCCAGCACTTTGGAAGGCCCAGGCGGGTGGATCACGAGGTCAAGAGATCGAGACCATCCTGGTCAACATAGTGAAACCCCGTCTCTACTAAAAATACAAAAAATCAGCTGGGCATGGTGGCGCATGTCTGTAATCCCAGCTACTCAGGAGGCTGAGGCAGGAGAATTGCCTGAACCCAGGAGGTGGAGGTTGTGGTGAGCTGAGATCGCGCCACTGCACTCCAGCCTGGGTAACAAGAGCGAAACTCCGTCTCAAAAAAAAAAAAAAAAAAAAAAAAGAACCTGGATCTTCATCCAAGCCAGGGAAGCTTCTCCCAGAAAGTTTTGAACTCTAAGAAATAAATTAGTTTGGTAATAAATGGGTTGTGGTCAGATATTTTGTGGGGTCTGTTTCATCATTTTTCCTTTTCACTGACACCCCAGCAAGCTGATACCTATGGTAGAGACTGTTATTTAGACCTCCCTATACTTTGGACACTTCAAACGTAAGACTGTCAGTACTGTGGGCTAACCTGGGTTGCAGGCATCCTCATCCGAGGCATAAAGATCCTAAGGGGCCTGCAGAGGTTTCAGGAACATATCAGCTGCTGTCCAGCAAGCTAGTGCTTAGGGTGGGGACTTGGCTGACGCAGGTGGCTGAGAGGCTTTTGTCTTCTCCCTTCCTGTCACTATTTGTCACACTTGCTCCCATGCGGCTTCTGCAGGCTCAGGTGAGCAGGTCCAGCACAGAAACAGGGCTGAGGAAGAGGAATACAGGTCAGGACGCTGAGCAGAGGAGTAATCCCCAGGGAAGGAGGTGTGGGGCTCACCTTGCCACAGCTGCAGGCTCTGGGGCTCCACAGATGGCCAAGGCATCGAGGACACAGAGTGGGTTCCAGAGTCTTTGTTGCTTTTTTGACCCCAGACCACAGGGAGTACATTTGAGTCCTCACTTCATACAGGTATCTGCAGACATGGAGGGAGGGAGTTTCCAGCCCCAGGTATGCCCTCTGGGAGTCTGGGTGGGCAGCCCTGGTTAGTAGGGTGACAGCCACTCTGGAACAGTGATAACTTCTCTCCTTTTTCTTGCAAACATTTCCAGTCAGATCTTGTATTGGGCACTAGAATAAAAGAGGAACAAGACAAAGTCCTACTTAAGAGTTCTATTTAAAGGGAGAAACCAATTTAGTTTTGCCTCAGTGTCAGAGAAGGCTAATTAAGAATGTGATGTTTGGCTGGGCGCGGTGGCTCACGCCTGTAATCCCAGCACTTTGGGAGGCTGAGGTGGGTGGATCTCCTGAGGTCAGGGGTTCAAGATCAGCTTGACCAACATGGAGAAACCCCGTCTCTACTAAAAATACAAAATTAGTCGTGTGGTGGCATATGCCTGTAATCCCAGCTACTTGGGAGGCTGAGGTAGGAGAATCACTTGAACCTGGGAGGTGGAGGTTGCAGTGAGCCAAGATCATGCCATTGCATTCCAGCCTGGGCAGCAAGAGTGAAACTCTGTCTCAAAAAAAAGAACTTGATGTTTGAGCTTCGTCTCAGCAGACCTAGCATACCCACTGTGCAAAGCAACAGCCAACACTTGGGGAGAAGCATGAGCCAAAGCAAGAAGGTGGAAAGGGCCCACTGAGAATATTGATAGATCTGGACCCAGGAGCTTTTGAAAGAAAACTGGTAACAAGGAAGATGCAGAGAGCAGTGAGGCAGCTGCCAGAGAGTCCAAATGGAAAGAGACCAGTGTGGATGAAGACGAGGGGAGAGCCTTCTGGCAAGGGAGGACCAAACTCAGACATTTCTAGGAGAAAGACTAAAGATGAAGGATGGGGGAGAGGGAGGTAAATAGAGATGATCCAGGACGAGTGGGGTTAGTGAAATAGGATGGGGTGTGGAGGAAGACTGAGCAACAGAAAATAACTAAGTCCGATCTTCACCCTGGAGAGGAGTGAACCCTTCCTCCCCCCATCTCTTAGCGTCCTAAGACAAAGCTGACATCTGGGGCTGATTAGGAGTATACACAGTGAGCCAACCAAATAATAAAATACCACTTAATAATAAAATAATAATTTTATTATTACCAAATAATAAAATACCAACCAAAAAATAAAATAAGAAAAGTACCACTTCTTTTTTTCTTTTTTGATGGAGTCCCGCTCTGTCGCCTGGGTTCAAGCAATTCTTGTGCCTCAGCCTCCTGAGTAGCTGGGATTACAGGTATGCACCATCACACCTGGCTAACTTTTTGTATTTTTAGTAGAGATGGCGCTTCATGTTGGCCAGGCTGGTCTCGAACTCCTGACCTCAGGTGATCTGCTCGCCTCAGCCTCCCAAAGTGCTGGGATTACAGGTGTGAGCCACTGCACCTGGCCAGGTTGTGGCTACTCTTATCCCTTTCATGCTACCGACAAGACAAACTCTGACAGGTTTGCTATGAACGCCCAGCAGGAGACAGTGGTGATACAGGACTTTGAGCCCAAATGATTGCACTCTGCTTTCGACCTCTGTTCTATTACTTTGAAAGAATCAAACTTGCAAAGTGATAGAGAGCTCCAGAAATTATTTTTGCAGTAACTTTCCCCTTTAATCCTTGTTTTCAAGACAGGGGTCACTTGCAATTGGCTATGGACAGAGTAGCCCCATGAGGCGGAGGTTGCGGTGAGCCGAGATGGCGCCATTGCACTCCAGCCTGGGCAACGAGAGTGAGACTCCATCTCAAAAAAAAAAAAAAAAAAAAAAAATCTAAAGGATTGGCCTTGGCCCTATCTATCTCTGGGTTTGCAGAAGTTAGGAGGAAGTATGAAATTTGGAGGTAGGGGCAGGAATGACACTTGGTTTTCCTAAAAGACAAACTCAATTGGAAGGGAAAGATGGCTCCTAAGGAAGTAAGGTACCGATGCCGCAGACATCCAGCCCTTTCCTGTGCCTGCCCCTGACCCACCTCAACACCCCCTCAGCTCACCTCCCCTTTTCACTGTTGCAGAGGAAGGTGCCAAAAGGGGAGGCATAGGTGCACTCAAACAGTGCCAACAGTAGCCCTTCCCCAAACTCCAGTCACAGTGGGAACCGGCGGCCCAGTTGCCACACGCAGTCCGGGAAGAGGAGAAAGGTGGATGCGTCGTGCTTAAGGCAGGCATGGGAGAAGGTGGAATGGGCACAGCGCAGCTGGAAAGGGTGGCCAGCCTGGAGACGGGGGAAGAGCAATGGGCACGAGGAAGCAAGGTTTCTGGATGGAGGGTAAGGCCAGGGTTGGGTGGTGACTTACTTACCTGGATCCACTCCTGCTCCACTAGCCCCTGGTCCTGCTCAAGCGGTCCAGTGAAGTCACAAGCAGGGTGCTGTCTGTGCCTACAGCCCGATGTACCAGAATGCAGGCCCCTTCCCCGTGGGCCCAGGGCTTATCAGCAGTGGCCTAGTCCTTCCCTCCCAGGGTCACCAGGACAGGAATAGAATGGACCAAGTTCTAGGCTATATTTGCTTACTGAATCAGTTTTGCGTCCAGGGGTTGAGAGCCCTGCCCATCCCACCCTAGTCTCTGTGTCAAGGGGGCTCCATGCCTGGGACTGCCAGGCAGGTGATGCTAGTGCCTCCTTTATATGTGACAGCCAGCAGCAGCTGTCCAGCTGACTCAGCTAGTGGTCCATGCTCTGCTCCAAATCCCCACAGGCCTCCACCAGGTTCATGAAGCTGTCCTGCAGGGGCTGTCCTCTGGGCAGTGGGAGTCTGGTCATCTTCCCTAGCCCAAGCCCTTTGCAAGTACAGCCTGGGAGCCTCGAGACCAATGAGGGAGACAGAGAACCCTGTAAAGAGCCCATCTGGCCGGGCACAGTGGCTCATACCTGTAATCCCAGCACTTTGGGAGGCCGAGGGAGGTGGATCAGTTGAGGCCAGGAATTTGAGAACAGCCTGGCCGGCATGGCAATACCCTGTCTCTACTAAAAATACAAAAATTAGCCAGGCACAGTGGCAGGCACCTGTAATCTCAGCTACTTGGGAGGCTGAGGCAGGAGAATTACTTGAACCTGGGAGGTGGAGGTTGCAGTGAGCTGAGATGGCGCTACTGTACTCCCACCTGGGTGACAAAGAGAGACTCCATCTAAAAAAAAAAAAAAAAAAAAAGCCCATCTGATAAAAGGGACACAGAGCCCCTTGGGGAGCCCAGTCTCACAGCACACACAACCTACGGAGGAGCTTCTAATCTTTGAGACAGGGTCTCATTCTGTGGATGAAATGGTTTCTTAGCTTTGAGGATTCCTCAATCTGATGGGAGAGACTCAAGACCCTTTGAGAAAGCACCTGGGGAGGGGTCGCATAGCCCTCTGGGGAAACACAGAATGCCCTGGGAAACCACCAATGTGATGGGAGTATCACAGTGCCCTTGAAATACCCAAGTCTGTTGGGAGAAACAGAGTGCTCCCCAGGGACCCCCAGTCTGATGAGAGAAATGCAGTCCTCTTGGAATTCTGCCTCTGCTCCTACCTCCCAGAAACTGCTCTGCTCAAGGTCACCAGTGACCTCCCACCAGAAAATCTAATGGAGATTTTTCAGCCCCGTTTAAAAGCCTTTAGTGGAGCCGGGTGCGGTGACTCACAGCTGTAATCCCAGCACTTTGGGAGGCTGAGGCGGGCAGATCACCTGAGGTTGGGAGTTCGAGACCAGCCTGACCAACATGAAGAAACGTCGTCTCTATTAAAAATACAAAAATTAGCTGGGCACGGTGGCACATGCCTGTAATCCCAGCTACTAGGGAGGCTGAGGCAGAAGAATCACTTGAACTCGCCCCTCGAGGCAGAGGCTGCAGTGAGCCGAGATGGCACCATTGCACTCCAGCCTGAGTAACAAGAGTGAGATGCTATCTCAAAAAAACAAAACAAAACAAAAACCTTCAATGGCTCCGTGCCACCTTGAGGATAAAGTCTAAGCTCATAACCATAGCCTTCCAGAACTCTGTTCTTCCCCGTGATCCCCACAGCCTCATTTGTCCTCCCACTTCATACTCGACACTCCCACCATACTGAAGGACATTAGTTGCCTCCATCCATGGTTTCACTTTCTGAGGTTTCAGTTACCCATGGTCAACTGTGGCCTGAAAATATTACATGGAAAATTCCAGAAATAATTCATAAATTTTAAATTGTAAGCCCTTCTGAATGTCATGATGAAATCTTGAGTTACCCTGCTCTGTCCCGCTGGGTGGGAATTCTCCCTCTGTCCAGCATATCCATGCTGCACACACTCACTGCCCGTTAGTCACATAGTAGCTGTCTTGGTTATGAGAGTGACCGTGGCAGCACTGTAGTGGGCTTGCGTTCAAGGTCAATAGGAGCCTATGGCTGCATTACAAGGCCAATGTCACTCACCACATCTCATCACATGGGCATTTAAGCATCTCACCTCATCTCAAGAAGGATGAGTAAAATAAGATATCTTGAGAAAGAGACCACAGTCACACAACTATTTTTTTTGAACAAGGTCTCATTGTGTCAGCCAGCCTGGAGTGCAGTGGTGTGATCACAGCTCACTGCAGCCTCTACCTCCCAGGGCTCAGGTGATCTCCCACCTCAGCCTCTTGAGTAGCTGGGCCTACAGGTGCACATCACTATGCCCGGCTAATTTTGAGACAGGGTCTTGCTCTCACCCAGGCTGGAGTGCAGTGGCATTGTCACAGCTCACTACAACCTCCGCCTCCCGGGTTCAAGCCATCCACCTAGACCTCTTGAGTAGCTGGGACTACAGGTGTGCAGCACTATGCACAGCTGATTTTCGTATTTTTTACAGAAACTGTTTCTCCCAAACAGGACAAATGACCAGGCTGTCTCTGCACCTGGACAGCTGCAGTTCCCTCCACATGCAGGGCCTGTCTTCCTTCTTCTGGCTCACTCCTCCTACACTTTTCAGTCTCAGCTAAAACATCCTATACTCAGGGAAACCTCTGATTACCTGAAGTCGCCTTAGTAAGAGAAGGGCACCTCCTGTGTGCTGCTGCTCATCTCAGGGGATCTTGACCGACCGTTCTCCGCTGGTCTTGGTCATGTCTGCGCTGGCCACCATGGCAGCCCCTGGGCTCAGTGCTGGGTAAATGAATGAATACACAGAGTTGTGTATTTTGGATAGGGAAGCAGCCTACTCTCCTCAAACCACAAACTCCCTCAGGACTTCTTGGCATTGCCATCACCTGGAGACAGAGGGACCAGATTATATCTGTGCAGGTGCAGAACTCAGGGAGGGGGTGCATGTGTGTAGGCAGAGGCTGTTCCAGGAAGACAAATTTCAGTTTAATGCAAAGAGATGCTTTTTCTTCCCAGGCAAAGTTGGGGTGCCTAGAGAGTAAGGAGCTCTCTCAGTGGTGGTGTGCAAGTGGGGAGGCCCACATGGAGGGATGACACCAGGAAAGGCTTCAGTCTTCAAGGTTCCTGGCGGATCCCCTCACCCCAACACACACTCACACATGTACATTCACAGAGCCCTGCAGGAGAGGACCTGGGAGAGGGTGGTGGTCCCTTACCTCTCCAGGGGGCCGGTGCAACCCTTTCCTGCAGGGTAAGCGGCCTTGGCCTAAGTGCCTCCGCCAGTTACGCGAGCCTGTTTTGAGGCCTGGGCTGAGCGCGTGTCCACGATGAAGCCCCGCGAACTAGGGCAAGCCCGGCTAGCATAGCTCGCAGCAGCTCCTGGTCCTCCTCGCTGGGCAGCTTCTGGGGACCGGTCAGAGGCTGGTTGGAGCATAGAAGAACCTGCGGATGGGATTCAGCTCTGGAAGTGGCCCCCCATGCCTCAGGGGGTCCCCTAGGCCTGGTCTGCATACCGACAGGCTGGAGCCCAGCAACCAGGCCAGAACTCACGAGGCTTCAGACCAGTCTGGGGGTGTTGTGGCCAGAGTGGATTGGGACCCTATGAATAGACCGTGGGCGGGTCCTGGCTTGACAAAGAAGGCACCGGGCTTCGCACAGGGCCCAGAACCGCCAGGGGCGGGGCCCAAGAAAGGTGATACCCCCTCCCTCCGAAAAGGCGGGAGAGGGGCGGGGCCAGAATGGGCCAGGAGTCGGGGCGAGGCCAGGCAGCGAATTGGCCTGGCCAAAAAGAAAAGATCCAGAAAAGAGCCACCCAGGGGCGGAGCGTGGGGAGGGCACACTCAAGGTTCCGCTGGGAGCGTGGTGGTAGCTGAGCACCGGGAAGCGGCCTCCTTGGCGGAAGCGGGCGCTGTGCGTCAGGTCATCATTGTCCACCAAGCGTGGGACAATCACGGCACGGGGTAACTGGGGCAGAGCTGAAGTCCTCGTTCACCTTGCTCAGCCGTCACGCGTCGGTCTGCGGAGCAGGGAGGAGAGAGGCCAGGTCTAGGGCACCCAAGGAGTGCTCTTCCCGCGCCTCTTTCGGGCCCAGCTTCCACCTCCCCGGGCCTCCACGACCGCGTTCACCTCAAGAGCTACTAGCTTGTAGCGTTCGGGCGAGAGGAAGTGCCAGGAGTCGTTCAATCTCAGGCCTTTGGGATGGTAGAACGGGCAGGAGGTGATGGGCAATTCCAGGGAAGACAGCACCTGGAGAAGGAAGTCAGGGGCTCTGGGGAGGGTCGGAATCGTCTCGTCCGCGCCCTTTCCAGCCCCTCAGCCCCTGTAGCTTCAGCTTCGGCCTCTCCACATACCCCGGACCACCCTGCAGCCCCTGCCATTTAGCTGCGGCTGCGGAGCCTCTTTGAACAGTAGCGCCTTTTTATTCCCCTCCACGCGAGACAGGGATAGTTTCAAGGGCTCGGGCGCGCCCTCGGCACACCTCGATGGAGCGGGCGATGTCCAGCGTCGCTTCCCCGTCCTCTATTTCCAGCTGCAGCACCCGCAGGTCCTTACAGCGTAGGGTGATGGTGCCAGAGTCACACGCAACCCTGGGAGGGACGGGCCCAGGCTTAGTGTCCCTCGCTAAGGGGAGGATGGTGCCCTCCTGCATAACGCAGGGTGATGGTGCCCTACTGCGTAACGCCCAATCCGGGAAACGGGTAGCCCCTCTCTTGGGACAACGAAACTTGCTGGCCCTCTCTGGGACTCGTTGTCCCCTCCCAGGAGAGGGGCAAGAGTTTCTCGAATTGGGCATTACGCCAGAGGGCGCCAGTTCCGACTGCGCTGGCAGTTTCCCCTACCTCTCCGAGCCGCGCGCTCCGCAACTCCGGGGACGCCCCCGCCACGTCTCGCGGCTTCTTGATGCTACGCAACAGCAGCCACAGGTCCCGAGACGACACCCCCCACCCCCAGCAGCAGGTGGTGGCCAGGGACACACAGCGTCATCTCGGAGAACTCCATTATGCCAGTGAGAGACCCGGGGCCCAGCAGAAGGCCTGACTCTGGGAGCCTCCGGAGGGGCAGCCTAGGGCTTCGAAAGGGACTGGAACTGTCTGGAAGGCTGTTGTGGACGCCGCCGGCTGGACAGCTGTTAAGGAGGCCTTCAGAGGAAGGGATCACAGTTTCACAGGAATTTTCCCTCATATTGCCAGTATCTCTTAGCGAGGTCTCTGGCCAGAGACTGTAATAAACAAATCTCCGTTTCACCATCTGTGAAATGGGGAGAATAATCTCACCTAAGGTCCTTAACCCTGTGCCTAGGTTGCAGGAGACACCCAATATTTTTGTTTGTTTGGTTTTTTAAGCCCTGAGGTGCTAGCACTACTGCTGACTTCAAAAGGAAAGAAAGGCCAGTTGCAGTGGCACCCGCCTGTAATCTCAGCACTTGCAGAGGTCAGGAGTTCGAGACCAGCCTGGCTAACATAGTGAAACCCCGTTTCTACAAAAATACACAAAATTGGCAGGGCATAGTGGTTCACGCCTTTAATTCCAGTACTTTGGGAGGCCGAGGTGGGCAGATCACGAGGTTAGGAAATCAAGACTATCTGGGCCAATATGGTGAAACCCCATCTCTACTAAAAATACAAAAATTAGCTGGGCATGATGGCGGGTGCCTGTAATCCCAGCTATTCAGGAGGCTGAGGCAAGAGAATTGCTTGAACCCGGGAGGCAGATGTTGCAGGGAGCAGAGATCGCGCCATTGCACTACAGCATGGGTGAAAAGAGCGAAACTCCTTCTCAAAAATAAAAGCAAGAAAGAAAAATAACCATCTCTTCCCCTATACCCTGGTGGAAGGGCCAGAAAGTGGGTGTGAAACTGGGAACTGCCTACTTCCATACATAAGAAACTTGGGTTGGGGAAATCCTTTGGTCCACCTTAAATACAAGCAGCTGTGTAGGTGACACCCCTCCCCCTGCCTCTCTGCTGGAGATTCCTGCCTGAAGGCACCCTATGTGCAGCCCACTTCAGGCTGAGTCCTGACCTCCAGAACCCCATCTGCTATCACTCCATCCTTTCAGTAAGTGTGTATTGCCTATACAGTGAGCTGAGCCCTGTGTTTGGTGCTGGGACCCAGGGATGACTGAGGAAGTTTCTGTTCAGGGTTTTCAGTCTAGCAAGAGATACAATTAAGCTGATAAAATTGCAGGAAGAAAGCTGAGCCGATTTGCCACAGGACCCATCTATTCATTCATCCACCTTCTTTTTCTTTTTTAAATGTCTTTGTGGAGATGGGGTCTCCCTGCTTTTCCCAGGCTGGTCTTCAACTCCAAGCCTCAAGCAATCCTCCTGCCTCGTGGCCTCCCAAAGTGCTGGGATTACAGGCATGAGCCACCATGCCCAGCCTCATTTATGTATGTATGTATGTATGTATGTATGTATGTATTTTTATTAAGAATAAAGGAATAGGGCTGGGTGCGGTGGCTCATGCCTGTAATCCCAGCACTTTGGGAGGCTGAGGTGAGTGAATAGCTTGAGGCCAGAAGTTCAAGACCAGCTTGGCCAACATGGTGAAACCCAGTCTCTACTAACAATAAAAAAAATTAGCCAGGCATGGTGGTATGTGCTTGTAGTCCCAGCTACTCGGAAGGCTGAGGCAGGAGAATCCCTTGAACCTGAGAAGCAGAGGCTGCAGTGACCCGAGATCGCACCACTGCACTCTAGCCTGAGCAACAGAGCAAGACTCTGTCACACACACACACACACACACACACACACACACAATTGCCAAGTAAGGTGGCTCATGCCTGTAATCCCAACACTTTTCTGGTCTAGGCAGACAGATCACTTGAGGTCAGGGGGAGTTTGTGACCAGCCTGGCCAACATGGCAAAACCCCGTCTCTACTAAAAATACAAAAATTAGCCAGGCATAGTGGCTCGCACCTGTAGTCCCAGCTACTTGGGAGGCTGAGGCAGGATAATCGCTTGAACCCGGGAGGCAGAGGTTGCAGTGAGCTGAGATTCACCACTGTACTCTGGCTTGAGTGACAGCGAGATTCGTCTCAAAAAAAAGAATAAAGGGGCCAGGTGCGGTGGCTCACGCCTGTAATCCCAGCACTTTGGGAGGCCGAGGTGGGTGGATCACGAGGTCAAGAGATCGAGACCATCCTGGTCAACATGGTGAAACCCCGTCTCTACTAAAAATACAAAAAATTAGCTGGGCATGGTGGTGCGTGCCTATAATCCCAGCTACTCAGGAGGCTGAGGCAGGAGAATTGCCTGAACCCAGGAGGCGGAGGTTGTGGTGAGCCGAGATCGCGCCATTGCACTCCAGCCTGGGTAACATGAGTGAAACTCCGTCTCAAAAAAAAAAAAAGAATAAAGGAATACAGAGGGGAGTGGTGGCTCATGGCCGTAATCCCAGCACTTTGGGAAACCAAGGCAGGAGGATCGCTTGAGCCCAGGAGTTTGAGAGCAGCCTGGGCAACATGGTAAAACCCCAACTCTACCAAAAACAGAAAAAATTAGCCAAGTGTGGTACATGCCTGTGGTCCCAGCTACTAGGGAGGCTGAGGTGGGAGGATCACTTGAGCCTGGGAGTTGGAGGTTGCAATGAGCTGAGATTTCGCTGCTGCACTGCAGGCTGGATGACAGTGAAACCCTGTCTCATTAAAAAAAAAAAAAAAAAAAAAGACTAAAGGTACTTCATAGGCAGAGAAGCTTTTTTTTTTGTTTTTGAGATAGGGTCTACCTCTGTCACCCAGGCTGGAGTGCAGCGGTACGATCAGGACTCACTGCAGCAGCTTTGCCCTTCTGGGTTTAAGCAGTCCTCCCATCTCAGCCTCTCAAGTAGTAGTTGGGCACAGGCATGTGCCACCATGCCGTGCTAATTTTTTTTTCTTTCTCATCCTCTGACTTTCAATCCTGCTAATTAAAAAAAAAAAAAAAAAGGGGGGCCTGGTGCAGTGGCTCACGCCTATAATCCCAGCACTTTGGGAGGCCGAGGTGGGAAGATTGAATCATGAGGTCAGGAGATGGGACCATCCTGGCTAATGCTGTGAAACCCCGCCTCTAAAAAAAAAAAAAATGTTACCCAGGCTGGTGTCTAACTCCTGGGCTCAAATGATCCTCCTGCCCCCACCTCCCAAAGTACTGAGATTACAGGCATGAGCCCCGGTCATATTTTTTCATTTTATTTTTATTTATTTTATTCTAGCAGCTCTTTTATTAAGAGTGTATATATGGCCGGGCGCGGTGGCTCAAGCCTGTAATCCCAGCACTTTGGGAGGCCGAGGCGGGTGGATCACGAGGTCAAGAGATCGAGACCATCCTGGTCAATGTGGTGAAACCCCGTCTCTACTAAAAATACAAAAAAAAAAAAAAAAATTAGCTGGGCATGGTGGTGCGTGCCTGTAATCCCAGCTACTCAGGAGGCTGAGGCAGGAGAATTGCCTGAACCCAGGAGGCGGAGGTTGCAGTGAGCCGAGATCGCGCCATTGCACTCCAGCCTGGGTAACATGAGTGAAACTCCGTCTCA